TGTGTGTGTGTGTGTGTGTGTGTGTGTGTGTGTGTGTGTGTGTGTGTATGTATGTGTGTGTGTGTGTGTGTGTGTGTGTGTGTGTGTGTGTGTGTGTGTGTGTGTGTGTGTGTGTGTGTGTGTGTGTGTGTGTGTGTGTGTGTGTGTGTGTGTGTGTGTGTGTGTGTGTGTGAAGTGACATTCTCCAGGGCTGCTTTCTGAAAGCTTGAAGAGGAATGTAAAAGCGAGTTTCATCGTCCTCTCAGAAATATCAGCGCAGCGCCGATGGAGTGGAGCTACACCAAAACTTCTTGGAATTCCTCACGCAGACTCACACATCGTTTGTCTTCAGAGGAAATGCATGAACCAATAATAATAACAATAAAGCTAAGTGAGGAAAAAAAAAATTCTCCATCAACAATCCAGACAATCACAGACTGACTTTTACTAATGCGCTGTTGTCTGAATGGATTAACGTCCCTGCAGCTAAATAATCTAGAGCTGCATGGGGAGGTTACAACAGCAGAAGGTGTCACATGTTGAACATATATTCTTTACAGGCTCTACCTCTAGTGTTAAGCGTCTCATTGATCAAACAGGACACATCAGTTTGCACCAGATGACACGAAACAATGAGCTAAACGTATTTATTTGGCCACAAAGAGTCTTCCAGCATATATCTGACCTGAACACTGTGATCCCAGTGGGAGAACATGAAGTGACCACGAGATCAGATGGTGATAATACTGATTCATCCTCCAGAAAACAGCTCCATGATGGTCTTTACATGTTAGCAGCCTAAATGTCAACATGCACCTTGAGAATAACTGCATTTACGAGCATTCATGTCAAATGTGTTCTCCAGAGGGTCCTCACACCAAAAAGCTAGGAAAAAGTAGAGAAACTGCATTTTCTGAAAAAATGCACAGTTGTTAAAGTTGAACAGAGTTGCTAAAGCTAAAATAAGCTGAACAGTAGCTAAGAGCTAAAAGAAGTAAAACATCAGGTAAATGGCAAACATCAAAACACTGGCTAACACCTAAAAGTAGCAAAAGACTTGCAAAAAGTTAATTGTACAAAACAGCCGGCTAAAAGTAACAAGTATAAAAGCAGCAAACTGTTAGATAAATGTAGTACCGTATTTTCCACCCTATAAGTCACATCAGTCCAAATATGTCTATTAAAGTGGAAAAAGCCATAAATATGTCGCTTCACTGTATAAGTCACATCTATTACACGTCACCACTGACAACACGGAAATGTGGGCCGGTGTTGTGCCAAAAATTGATTGACTGCCAAATGGTGGCCGTGGGAGTGTGCACGGGAGGACTTTAACAGGAATTTAACAATATTAACACTTAAAACAATTATTTGTTTGATCAAAATTATAGTAAATGTGTGTCTCAGTCTAACTTTTCCTTAATAAATGCACTTTGACGGTTAAATCAGCTGCATTTCTTGGGGGCGGTGCAGTGAAATGAAGCTGATTTGACTGTTGCTCCAAGCGAGCTGGACGACGGTGGCAGTGTATGGCAAGCTGATTGTGTCATTAATAGCCACATTTACCTATTACATGACACAACGGCATGCCATACTTCTCGATTGCCATCTAGCAGCTGAAAATGATCGTGTTTAATATTTTCAGTAAGAATGAATGAAAACGGTCATATCTCAGCCAAAAACTGGTTTATAAATATGGGGGGAAAAGTCCATAAATAAACTGCTTTGGTGTATAAGTCGCAGGACATGCAAATTATGTAAAAAAACGCGACTTATAGGCCAAAAAAAAATTGGTACAAGGTAAGCTAAAAGTTAAATAGTAATGGGATAGCTAAAAAGTAAAAGTAGCAAAAGGCTAGTTAAATGTAAATGTGAACAAAAAGCTAAATGTAACACAAGGTTAGCTAAGAGTTAAAATAGTAAAAGGGTTACTAAAAGTAAAGGTAACAAAGAGCTAGCCAAATGCTAAACATAGCAGTGAAAATAAAAGTACCAAAAAGCTATCTAAAATCTTAAAATATCATAAATTTGTTAAAAGTAGCATAAGGTCCCAGCAGTTCTTCCTCTGATTTTATCCTCAAATGGTGTCCCCACTGAGTTTGTTGATTCCTATAAATATTTGGGTATCTTGGTCGACTCACATCTCTCTTTTAAGCTCCATGTGGAAAACTTGATAAAGAAACTGAAAGTTAAACTTGGTTTCTTTTTCAGAAACAGATCCTGTCTAACCCTGAATGCTAGAAAACACCTTGTATCTGTGACTTTCCTTCCCTCCATTGATTACGGTGACATTATTTACATGAACACTCCTACAAGAACCCTGCAGATGTTGGATGCTGTCTATCATGGTGCACTAAGATTAATAACTGGCTGTGATTATCGTACCCACCACTGCACCCTGTATTCACTGGTTAACTGGACATCATTAACTTCACGCAGACTCTCTCACTGGTACATTTTCATCTTTAAATCACTTCTTGGTCTGCTGCCTTCATACATCTCCTCCTACATGTCTCTGCGTGAGTGCAGCTACAGCGTGCGCTCTCAGGACATTATTACCTGCAGTGTTCTCTCAGTGAGGACTGAACTTTCCAAAAGCGCCTTCTCCTATTCCGCTCCTGTTTCCTGGAATATCTTACAAAAAGACTTGAAGCTCTTGACCTCTCTAAGTGTCTTCAAACATCTGTTAAGTTCCTGGCACAAACCATTGCAGACATGTTCCTGTTTTTAGTTTTCTAAATCGCCTTATAATTTAGCTGTTTTTTGTTACTTTTTTTAGCCATCCTATTTGTTAAAAAAAACAAAAACTGGAGTGTTACTTTTTATAACTGTTTATTGTTGTCACTGTTGTCCATTGTTGTCATCATTCTTTGTTGAAATCAGGTCTCTCTTGTAAATGAGTCCCCGAGGCTCAATGGGATTTACCTGTCTAAATAAAGGTTGAATGAACGCACAGTGCTGGAAATCCATCGCTTTGTCTTCCTCTACTGGGCTGCATGAACATTACATCAACTTTCACCGTCTTTTGCGACGCGACGTGATGACGTAAATGAAACGCGACTAAAACGTATTTGTTATTCGCCAGGAGGAGGAGAGAGAAGTGTTTATATTCCTGTATCGTTTTCAAACATGTCTTTTCTGCGGATCTGCGCCTCAACAAGCAGACGTGTCGCCTCCAGCACCGCAGCTGTGGACTCGATCTTCACCGGTTCGTGTTTCTTTAAAAATAAACTAATCCAAACACGAGAGAAGGTCATCTGATTTCTAACAACAATATGGACACGCTGGTCCATATCGTATAAAACAAAATAGAGTATGCTGCATTCATAGTAAAGAATAAAGCGTTTAAATGTTACATTTCACAAAGAAAAATGCAGCTTTTTTACTTCCAGAAGCTTGAAGTAGAAGTTTGGTGTAGCAAAGTAAAAATTTGCATCTAACAGTCTTATGCTTAAAGTTCCTCAAGCATGAAAGGTCGGATTGTAAGGCAGAAGTAATAAATTGTCCATTTGGAAAGTTTAGTAACATTCTTACTAAATCTTTATTTTATTTCATTTTTACTGCAATGATTATTACCCCTCAAATGAGCTGGACAGAAGGAAAAAACAAAAAGCTCTAAATAAGGTTATTATAGCATTATCTGTGAAAATGTTTTAGATATATATATATATATATATATGTGTGTGTATTTATTTGGGGCAGCACGGTGGTGCAACTGGTAGAGCTGCTGCCTCTCAGCGAGCAGGTCCCTGGTTCAAATCCCGGTCCGGGGGTCTTTCTGGGTGGAGTTTGCATGTTCTCTCCGTGCATGCGTGGGTTTTCTCCAGGTACTCCAGTTTCCTCCCACAGACCAAAAACATGCATGTTAGACTGATTGGTAACTCTAAATTGTCTCTAGGTGTGAGAGTGGATGGTTGTTTGTCTCTATGTGTCTCTGTGATGGACTGGAGACCTGTCCAGGGTGTACCCCGCCCCTCGCACAGTCATTGCTGGACATGGGCACCGACGATCCCCGTGACCCAAAAATGGAATAAGCGGGTAAAGATAATGGATGGATGGATGGATGAATGGATGTATTTATTTATGTATTAATTAATTAATTAGGGGTGCATCGATAAATCGGCCGGCCGATTTATCAGCCCCTATTTCCTTAATTTTGGGAAATCGGCCAAAACTTGCACGAGAAACCGATTGTACCAATTTTTTGGATTTACCAATTTCAGAGCACTACCTCATGGCCAGTTAAAACCAGTTTGTATTGTTTCTAGGATATTGTTCAAGGGCATGTTTTTCAATAAAATAATATTGAAAAATTGAAGGTGCATTGTGACTTTATAACAACTGACAGTGTCACTTATAAAACTAAATCGGTATCGGACAGAAAACTGCAATCGGTGCACCCCCAATGTATATATATACAAACCGGATTCCAAAAAAGTTGGGACACTAAACAAATTGTGAATAAAAACTGAATGCAATGATGTGGAGGTGCCAACATCTAATATTTTATTCAGAATAGAACACAAATCACAGATCAAAAGTTTAAACTGAGAGAATGTATCATTTTAAGGGAAAAATCTATTGTTTCCAAATTTCATGGCGTCAACAAATCCCAAAAAAGTTGGGACAAGTCCATTTTTACCACTGTGTGGCATCCCCCCTTCTTCTTACAACACTCAACAGACGTCTGGGGACAGAGGAGACCAGTTTCTCAAGATTAGAAATAGGAATGCTCTCCCATTCATGTCTAATACAGGCCTCTAACTGTTCAATCGTCTTGGGCCTTCTTTGTCGCACCTTCCTCTTTATGATGCGCCAAATGTTCTCTATAGGTGAAAGATCTGGACTGCAGGCTGGACATTTCAGTACCTGGATCCTTCTCCTACGTAGCCATGATGTTGTGATTGCTGCAGAATGTGGTCTGGCATTATCGTGTTGAAAAATGCAGGGTCTTCCCTGAAAGAGATGACGTCTAGATGGGAGCATATGTTGTTCTAGAACCTGAACATAGTTCTCTGCATTAATGGTGCCTTTCCAGACATGCAAGCTGCCCATGCCACAAGCGCTCATGCAACCCCATACCATCAGTGATGCAGACTTCTTAACGGAGCGTTGATAACAACTTGGGCTATCCTTGTCCTCTCTGGTCTGGATGACATGGCGTCCCAATGTTCCATAAAGAACTTCAAATCATGACTCATCTGACCACAGAACAGTCTTCCATTTTGCCACACTCCATTTTAAATGACCCCTGGCCCAGTGCAAACGTCTGAGCTTGTGGAGCTTGCTTAGAAATGGCTTCCTCTTTGCACTGTAGAGTTTCAGCTGGCAACGGCGGATGGCACGGTGGATTGTGTTCACTGACAATGCTTTCTGGAAGTATTCCTGAGCCCATTTTGTTATTTCCTTGACAGTGGCATTCCTGTTTGAGGTGCAGTGACGTTTAAGGGCCCAGAGATCATGAGCACCCAGTAGAGTTTTACAGCTTTGACCCTTACGTACAGCGATTGTTCCAGGTTCTCTGAATCTTTTGATGATGTTATGCACGGTTGATGATGATAACTTAAAAGTCTTTACTATTTTATGCTGGGTAACACCATTCTGGTATTGCTGCACTATCTTTCTGCGCAACAATGGTGGAATTGGTGATCCTCTTACCATCTTGGCTTCTGAGAGACACTGACACTCTGAGAAGCTCTTTTTATACCCAATCATGTTGTCAATTGACCTAATTAGTGTTAACTGGTCTTCCAGCTGTTCGTCATATGCACAATTTACTTTTTCCAGCCACTTATTGCTACTTGTCCCAACTTTTTGTGGATTTGTTTACACTGTGAAACTTTGAATCAACATATTTTTCCTTTAAAATGTTACTCAGATTAAACTTTTGATCTGTCATCTATGTTATATTACGAATAAAATATTGACATTTGCATCTCAACATCATTGCATTCAGTTTTTATTCACAATTTTGTTTAGTGTCCCAACTTTTTTGGAATCCGGTTTGTGTATATATATATAGTATGTGTATATATATATATATATATATATATATATATATATAATTAGCTTACCAGTACATTATCATCATCACACCAAAAATATTTTTTGCCTGTTTATTTGTCTGCCTATTAGCAAAATATTTCATGAGCCACTTAATGGATTTTAATGAAACTGTCAGAAAATCATCTGATGACTGCCACAGCCAGCTGACCTTGAAAACACAAACATCAATAATTCAGTCACTTTCTCAGGTACAGGCTGAACGTTGGGTTGATAAGTGTCCACATGTTGATGTGAACGTCGCTGTTAGATGCAGCGTAGGAGTTTGTGATGACTGAAAATTCACCGCTCGTTTGATTCTTTGTGTATCTTGTTCAGGATGTGTGCGGACGACCAGTGGAGTCGTGAAGGACAGTGAGCCACTGAGGAAGGCCAAAACCCCACAGGGGCGCTTTGATGCCCCCGAAGAGACGAGCAAAGACGTTCTAGAAAGTGAGGAAGAAGAGGGAACTGTCCCTCTTTGTTTGAGACACATTCTGAATGTAAAAAGTTGAGATCCTAAGCATCAGTTTGTTTATGTAGATGTAGTAACACATCCCTGCCCCCAGAAGAAGACCCTGAATCTTCTGTCTTTAACACAACAGGAAGATTTCATGGTAAATGGTTGAATTAGCTGCTCACATCATCAGTTTCAGGGAAGTGTCCTCCTGGGTGTGTTGCCTTCTGAGGGAGCTCTGAAACAGCTGCTTACTCAGAAACACTGAAGAAGTAAATGCTGAAAAATAAATTCTTCAATTTGGGTCACGTTAAAGTTTCTCTGAAAAGAACTGAGTCCGTACTTTTTCTCTGCTGAAGTGAAGTGAAACCTTCACTGCTTCCACAGTGGTCCATGTGGTCCTGATGAGAAAGGAAGAGGAACCACCAGGTAAAGATTGTTCTCTTGTTTTCCTTCAGAATTCCCAGATGATGTGAACCCAGCAACCAAGGAAAGAGGTGGTCCTCGGGGTCCAGAGCCCACCCGCTACGGGGACTGGGAGAGGAAGGGCCGCTGCGTGGACTTTTAGCTCCAACTCCTGGATTATGAAGACGTGCAGTCCACGTGGAGGCGCTGTGACAGATCCTGGGTGCTTCTGCTGTGGGATGATCACGGACGGTGGAGAGAAGCTTCCTGAACAAAGAAGTTGCCCAAACTTCATGTCTTGTGTGTCATTTCAAAGATGAACCTCTTTAGTGACTGTTTTTGAAGAAAAGTGGTTCCGTGTACATTTTAGATCTGAACTCGTTTCTTCTAATACTGTAAATGATGTGAGGCATTTATGTCTAATCCACAACAATTCACAACTTCTGTCTAAACTCATACTTTTTTCCTTTCATCATAAAAACCGTGTGTTTCGTGGTTCAGACTCAAACGAGCTGCCTCTACAGCGTCTGCAACGATGACTCCAGAAGCTCGTGTTTGTTTCAGCCTGGACTTGTGTTTTTAATCATTTGTTTTACTTTTTCCTGTAGGGATTTTATTGTAAAGATTAGGATCCATTTTCTGCATTTGAGCAGGCGACATAGAACCCAATAATCAGAGTAAGTTTTATCAACCTGTAGATGTTCCTGTGTTTAATAATAATCAGCTGTTATGAAGTTCATTAATTGAAAACCAGGGATGCACCGACTGCAGTTTTCTGGCTGATCACTGATCTAAAATACCTGACCTGCTGATTCTGATTTTGTTTTCTAAGTGACACTGTCGGGCATTATAAGGTCACAAATCTTATTTTATTGAAAAACGTACCCTTGAACATTATCCTAGAAACAAACTTGTTTTAACTGGCCATGAGGTTGTGCTCTGAAATATAAATGAAGTTCAGACAATTGTTAAAACTACAAATATCTGTAAAATCTGTTTCTCATGTATCGGCTGATTTCCCAAAATTAAAGAAATCGGGGCCAATTCATCGATTCCTATTAAAAATACTACAAAGTATTTTAGAGCTCACGCCAAATGTGACATGAAAGACGTCCTGCAGGGCTTAGAGACGTGGAAGCACAGGTAAGAGGTTTAGGAAGTTATGTTTGTCATGCAGGTTAACATCAGGTCAACGATGCAATGAAATGTTGAGGATGAGAAGAAGAACAGATTTCTACATGCCATGAAGGTACAAGATAAAGAAAACGTCTTCAGCTACAGAACAAAAGTCCAGTTGTTTTTGCTTTTAATCTTGTTTGGAGGTACAAAATAAAGAACCAAAAAGTACAAAAGAAATATAATATTTACAAGGCCCAAAAGAAAAACCGTAACAACATTCATTGAACCTTTATTTCTACAGGTTAGTCTCATTGAGCCTCGAGGACTCATTCACAAGAGAGACCTGTTTTTAACAAAGAACACAGATGAGGTACAGAGACAATCATATGAAAGCATTAAAATGAAAAGTAAATAAAAGAAATGAAATAAAAACAAAATCCGTTAATCATTAAGTGATGTAAAATACTAAAAACAGGAACAGTCTGTTTTTCCCAGGAACTTAACTGATGTTTAAAATCACTTGAATAAGTCAGGGTCAAGAGCTTCAGATCTTTTTGTAAGATATTCCAGGAAACAGGAGAAGAAACTTTTGCCTAGTTCAGTCGTCACTGAGGGAACACTGCAGGTAATAATGTCCTGAGAGCGCACGCTGTAGCTGCACTCACGCAGAGACATGTAGGAGGAGATGTATGAAGGCAGCAGACCAAGAAGTGAGTAACATGGTAGAATATAACGGTGCAAGTAGGATGAATTGGTATAAATATGTATTTCACAGGTAGTAATAAAAGCTTAAATGCACATGAAATAAATAGTACATCTAACATAGAGCACATCTATCAACTTGGGGCAGCTGTGGCTGAGTGGTTAGAGCAGTCGTCTTCCAATGCAAGAGTTGGGGGTTCAAATCCACCAGCAGTCACATGTCCAAGTGTCCCTGGGCAAGACACTGAACTCCCCATTGCATCTGATGTGTGTCCCATCAGTGTATGAATGTGACCTAAAGCACTGATTAGTCTCTTTACAATGATTTGGAAGTAGAGCTGGTGTGTGTGTCAAACATTTTATTTTTCCATCTTCTGCATTATCACACCTGATTAAAGGCCTCATCTGTTTGGAAAGGTCCTGCAAACATCTCCGTTAGTGTCTGGTTCACAGGTGAAGGTACCTGCCACCCAATCATCCAGGACCTCAGATTAGGTTGGGTTTTGTCACAACCCCTAAAAACACATGAACGCCTTTGATCGGGTCGAAAATATGAGCTGAACCCAATAAAAGAAGTTTTGTGAGAAAAGTCTGGCAAACCGGAAAAGATCTGAAAAATCCAGATTTAAAAGTTTCTTGATTTTATTACATAAAAAAGCTTCAAATGATGTAAGTATTGAGTTGACTATGCTGACTTCTAGTGGTACTAATACTCATTGTTTTTAAATTGTTCTATACCAGAAGGTGTCTACACAGTCTTGAAAATATTATAGTGGAAATTGATTATAGTGTTTTCAGGTTTGGATAAGAGTGGAAAAGATGTTGGTGTTCCCAGAATCTTTTGCATGCTTTCATGTTTTTTCACGTTTTCTACTTTTCTACTCTGGCTCTCGATCAAGGTGGACGCTCTCCATCCTCCCTGTTCTCCTCTTCCTCCTGCTTTGCTCTCTGTGTGTTTGGAGCTCCTGGTACACATCTCCCGAATGAAAAACACGATTATGGATCTGGTGAGCTGGACTTTCAATGCAATCGACAAAATCTTTTCAACAAAACGCCAGGGTCCTGGAGAACCCTCTTGTCCAACTGAGACTCACACTGCAGGGTACATCACAGATCCGTGGGGAGTGTGGCAGCTGATGTGTCTCTCAGTCCTGTCTCAGGAGAATGATGAAGACATTTACATATTTGCATTTATGATAGCAGGGACTCTGCTTTTTGACATCGGTGGCTCTGTTTTATCGACTTTTGAAGAAGACCTCGGCAGCAGTTTTGGCCACGACAAAGCGTCTGAGTCAGTGTGAAGGTTTAGTTCATGCTATGAGTACTTAAAATCAGCTGATTTACGAGCTAAACTGTAAGATGGAGGCGATTTGTGAGAATCGCAGGCCACCTGCAGCTCCTAGAACTTGTCAGCATGTTGGGATCAACCTTGAAGGAGGCTCATAACACGGATCAGTGGAGTGGATACCCATAAATTTGACCATTTTGAACCGGAAAGTTCCAGCAGGACTCAAGGCTGACGAGGAAAAACAGTCTGCCTCAAGAAAATCAACAATTGTGGCTTATCTGAATCTGACTCCCCCGTTTGGCCTCGGATACGAGCCGACTATCAAATTTCTCCTGGGACATGGGTAACTAGGGACAAAGCTTTGTCTATCAAAACCCCCACCCCCCTCTGAGAACTTCTATGAATGCTTATCAGAACTGCCGGCTGAAATAACATCAGAACTATGGCCGATCTGAAAGTGTCCATGGACAAATCTCAACGTCTTGACATCAAATGCATATGTCATGTGTCTATAAATGTGCTTGCTGGTAGAGTTTTTTGATGTCTCAGACTGTGTCCTGATAGGACAAGATATGAAGAGATCTTTTTTGTAATACCATTATCCATCCTCATGGTTCTTACCCTTTTTCTATCTAAAAGTATTCTGATAAAGAATAAGGTTTTTAGCAGCAGCAACGTGCACTCCGTCCATCTTTCGGACGACTGTACAAACGTAATCTCACTGTATTTTGGTCCAATGATAATAAAGCTTATTCTGATTCTGATGTTGTATTTTCTTAATTCAGCTGTTTGTGTTTCTTCTAAAGCTGGGATTACTAACTTCTGGAAATTAAAATAAGAAAAACAGATCTTTGTTTTATACCAGGAGCATCTGAACTTTTTCATATGTGGGCCAAAAGTGTCCAGATGAAAGGACTCATGGACCACAAAAATATGAATTTAACTCAACGTGAGCAATATTTAGGAGAAAGGACAAAAGTTTGCTAATTTTGGTGGAGAAAGAGTTTTACATTGCTGTAGATCCAAAACATTAAAAGCCTCATAAGCACTAAGTTTAGATTTTTTATTAAAAATTATTTAATATATTTGATGTGTTGGGTCTATGTTTGTTGTTTTCTTGTGTTTGGAAAGTTCATTTTAGTTTGTTCTCAGCAACAAAAACATAATTTGAGTAAGTGTCCTCTTAAAAATGGTTCGATCAGCCTTTTGGACCATGGACAGCCCAAAAGACAGATGGAAGTTCTGAAAAGTTGTCAGTCACTACAACAGATTGAAGGTTTAATAAAGTTGATCAACTCATATGCAGATGATATCACGTTATATTCATTTTAAAATGTCCAATTTCCCACTTGATTATTTTATCAACTGCAATATTTTGCCAAGTTTTATGAATCATTATGTAAAAGTCTCTTTTCTGGTAGCAATCAGTAAAGGTTTTTGATGTTTTGTACCATGAAGTGAAAATAAGAAGGTATAACCAAATGTTTGTATTTTGTTTAATATTGATCATGTTTAGAAAATTGGTTTTCATCCGTTTTGCTGTTAAACCTAAACATTATATTAAAAAAACAACATTTTTCAGTCAGGTCATCTGGACAGTTTCTTTTTTTTTTGTGCTGAAACGTTTCACTTTCGATCCGGAAGGCTTCATCAGTCAAGGAAACACACAACAAAACTGATTCTTCCCCCAACAGCTTACTCCAAGGTGGAACAAACCAGTTCTGCTTGTGATAAGATAGTCTCTTTGGTACGGATCAAAGGATCGAAGACAAAATGTTTCAGCACAAAAAAGAAACTGTCCAGATGACCTGACTGAAAAATGTTGGATTATATACCTGGATTATTGAGCATGGACTTTGTTGTTGTTTTCAACCAGTTTGACAAGACTGTCAACAAGGAAGAGGGCCGGCAATGGAGGAGGGGAGACCACAGTACATATTAACTTCTTTTCAGGCTACATTTTGGTTTTTGATGGTAGGAGTTTGTAAAATTTGATTTAAAAAAAAAAAGTTTTAATTTGCCTAAAAACAAATTCAGAATCAGTACACAAAATTCTCAAAAATTTCACACAAGTATTGAAGTAATTGTGCATCTTTCGTAGTAGGAGATAGTTGTTTGACATTTTAAAATTCCATAGTTTTATAGATATTAAAACTTCATCAATGTACAAACGTAGTAAATTGGCACAAGTTTTACTTTCAAATACTGAATGTGGGTTTAATAAAAGTCTCGTCTTTTTGAAGTTTGCATGCAGTTCTAAGTTTGTCCACT